GATTGGGGTTAATTTGCTCGTCGAAAAACTGGCCTCCTAAATGTAGTAATTTAGTGTTATTAACCAAGTTGAAAACGTAAATTTGCCGCTGTAAAGAGTTTAAAGGCTGACGTTTCGAGCGTTAGCCCTTCGTCTGAACGATTGTGGAACAAAAGTTAATCCTTTGACCCCTAAGATAGACCAGCATCTAATTTCTCCATACGATATCACCCCTGGATCACACATTTAAGTCACGAGAATAAAAGAAATAATCACCGACTAAAGAAGCTTTTGATTGCGAGACAAATTCTCCTTGTCGGCACCTTAGAAAATGGTTGAGAACAGAAAGGAGAATATGCATACCGATGTAGGGTGTAAGGAGTGAACTCAGTTGAGAGTCGAAAGTGTAAGATTTCGATGTAACCCCATACTTCATTATACATGCAGTCCTTTGAACAAGATAACAATTTGCGAAAAACAAAAAAATACCGACGGGACTGTGGCTTTGTTTTCGAATAACATTGGATAATACGGAAATCTTTCCATCCAAAGTAATCTGGGATTAATTTTCTTGGTTTCACTTTACTTCGTTCTGAAGTTGGTCTGAAAAATCTCTAACATCCTCTCAAACTACAACTTCTTGCGACTTAGTCACTCGCATTTGCCTGCGCCTCAGAAAGTTTCCTCGTTTTTCTTTTATTTTTCATCACTCCTTTTTATTTGTTCCTTCTCTCGGTTTGGCCATCGTGATAACGGCAGGATTTCCACACAGCCGCGTACTTCATTATGCATACAGTTCTCGGATAAAAAAAACTATGGCGGAAACAAAAGATTGCCCTTGGGACTACGGTTTTTTTTTTTTTTTTACTATAGTATGGGGTAATACGTAAATCCTTCTGTGATTACTTTGGTTCTGATTTTACGTCACTCGAACGAAATGCACTCTATCAACTCGAATCAACATAGACTGACCTGTATCTCAAACCTGTATCTGTCTCCATGACGTTAATCTTGTTATGACTTATTGCATTCCCCTTCAAGTCGTCCACTCTTTCCTGATGGCTGTTGAAGAAACAATTCCAGTGGCGATGAACAACCAAAATTAAGGCAGAATGAATGTTATTTTTATTGAGGGGGAAGTCGTAAAAAGGAGGAATCCTGTGGTAAAATTGACTCGGGGATCGAACGAAAACCTTAAGATTTATCTCAATTGTGTTTCGTTTTCGTTTTGCACGTTTCTCTTCGTGCAACGAGGTCTACCTTAAGCCGCGATTGAGACAATCATTGGACCTCGATAATTCTTTATGAAAGGGTTGTTCGAAGGAAGAGGAAGTTTCTCCAGAGTTAGCTGGAATTCTTCTTTACACTGTTCATGATAAATGTTGGTGTAAACAAATAAAAGGTTGTTTACAACGCATGTAAACAAGATATCCGCACGAACTCAAACACCATTCGGCATACAGTTATCTCATAAAGAAACCAACAGATGGCGAAAACAATAGCTTACCTTTGGAATGAATGCTTTGTTGTAGAATGGCATGGGGTATTGGGGTGTATGGAAATATTTCCCACAGGTTTGCTAAACAAAGGCTAAATTTTGTTAGACGACAATAATACACCATAAAATTTTACGATTTACCTTACCACCCCTGGAAAAAGTGTCCTACAAATGTCGTCAAGCTGTTGACAATTTGATTATGCCTGCTTTTTCAAAAATCCCACAATTTCTCTTGTTCTCGATGATTACTTCAAAGACGATAGATTTACATATGCAAGTTCTCTCCCCACCAGGCGAGAGGCAAAACCGTCATGCCAGATTAAAGGTAAATACTCAGTAGCAGCATAGAGCGGATGTGAAGAAAAGATAGGGTCGTCGCTCCATACTTAACATTAACGCCGAATTTGTCTCAAAGCCCACAGAAGTGTCAGTGGCTTATAGTTATGTGCTAAATAACGAAAGTTCACGACTTACATGAATATTCCGAGAAGACCAATACTCCGCTTCTTTATGGCTTGTTTGAATTGAGCCGGCCACGTGCAAGGATTTAAAAAAAAAAACCAGTGTTAAAGATCAACAAACAATTTAACTGCAACAGTCAAACGCTAGGGCTGTCTATGACATCTTGAGCTATCATTTGTCTACAAAAAAAACCTGTAACTAGAAGCCAATAGCTAAAAACCAAACAGACGAGCGAAGTTCTGAGCTGCAAGTGTCAAGTTCTGAGTAAAACTCACGTGAGATGAATACCAAATGATGGTTAACATATTTGCAATGTAGATCAAACATTTAGTGGGCTTCAGATTGAGTCAAAATGATGAGGAGGGGGCGGAAAAGTTGTGATTTCTGATGGTGTTACTTTCTGCTGAGAATTCGATGTCACCTGGAGGCGAACTCTTTAAATGGAACACTAATTCATATTTTTCAGGTCTACTTTGTGTCACAGCCATGATCCTCTTTCATTTGCCATTTAGTTCAAGTAAGTAGCTTACATTTTGACGTGACTTCCGAAGCAGTTATTTTAGCGTAGATAAAAAGGGAAAAATCAAAAGAATCCGTACTCCTGGCCAACACAGTACACAGGTTTTATCTTCAATCTCTCCAAAGTACTCTTCTCCGTTTAATTGCAACAACTCTCTGTCTACTATTGACAGAAGACTGATAACCGCTAATGACATCCTCTCATTTGAGTGCATATTTCATGCGTCTTTGAAATGCAGCTTCGGTCGATAAACTGAGTGAGAAATACGAACCACCATTCATCAGCGAGTGATTTGTACGCTGCGCTGATCTTAACTTTTTTTCCTCGATAAAATATTATTTAATCAGATTCCAAGAGCAAAGGGTTGGCTCAAATTTTTAGCTCCTACCTGCAATCTTGCTTAATCGTACCCAAGGAGCAAGATCTTTTTTCCTGTATATTTTTTAAACAATACTGGGTTTTTGGCTTCAGGAACTGGCGACTTGTTCTTTTCTGATTGTCTCATCCAAGAGCATTAGGTGGGTTTTCCATCCCTTGAGTGTTTACCATCAAAATACACTCCTAATTTGCAAGGTAAATTGCTGGTACTGCTGCAGGGGTTTAATTTGTACTTAAACTTTCCTTTAGCAAGAGTAATTTTAAAGTCAGTATTGAAAGAGAGATGGAGTGGATTTGCTTAACTTCGCTCTCTGATTGGTCTAGAAAACCCGATCCAACCTCTCAACCCATCAGATGCAATATTAAAATCAATTGCGGCTTGGTCACCCGCATTATCATCGAGCTAATTTTGAGATTTTCTTTATTTCCGAGATAACACTAAAGTCGTTCGTTTAGTTAGCTCGTAGTGTCTCTCCTGCTCCCCAACACAAGTGAATGTGCTACGTGAAAATTCCATATACAAGTTAACAATTGGTTCATACGTCAGCGTGCGTTCATCGAGATATGAAGCACGCGGGAAGTTTGGAGAGCACGCAAGATGCGTAAGAGTTGCTCGAGGCGTAGCCGAGAGCAACTCTAGCTTCTTGAGTGCTCTCCAAACTTCCCAAGTGCTTCATATCTCGATGAACGCACAGCTGACATATGAACCAATTGTTTTATAACATTTTCAACCCGATGGAAAATTTTTTTTCTCGAGAGATGTTTGCTGACGTCATGAGCGTGCACAATAGGAATAAGAAGCACGGTCGTGCAATTGAATTTGATTAGGCAAATTTACCAGCTATGTTATAATAAAATGTGGCATGAAAAGGAAAACGAAACGCATTCGAAAGGCATTTGAAAACTCACACAAGAGTATTAACACCTCGACAGCGATCCGTGGCTGCATAAGAACGACCCGAATTTAAACTCTGGCCCTTGACAAGACGTTGATTACTTAAAATGATGTCAAAGGAGGCAGGGTAACAAGTAACAAGAGAATGCCTCCACAGTCTCCTCGCACTTCAGTATTAAATAATTATGTGGGAGGGTCAAAATGATCTTGCCGTTACAATATTCTAAACATCTCTCGGGACACTTACGTTCAATGGGTTAATGATAAGTACGCTTCCAATCCTCGGTATCGAAACTGTCCCTCTATATTCCTTCTCTGCAATGTTGGTAAGAGTCCCGACAACGCTAAGAAAAGCATAAGATTAAAAAAGGGTTTGCAACCTAACTTTGTTTTTTTTATTCAAGAGGCAAGATGCCGTAAAGAGGCATTTGCTGTATTTGTTCCGAAGCACAATTTTGAGTCCCTGCACAGAAGCAAACAAAATCCAACATATTGTACTGAAGTAATATTTATTATAAAATCTCACAACTCCAACATTTATATAAATCAGTACAAGTGAAATGAACTCTAGTAACGAAGTCTCTGAAAGCTAACTATTATGCAGCCTAGTTAAGGTAATTTAACCAGTAAATGAATTACAAAGAAGATCTAATATCAAATGTCAAGATCTAATGTCAAGTGATAGTCACAAAAATAACAGTATCAGACATTAATATGTTATCAAGCTTTTAACACTTGAGGGTTAATAAGCAGATTAATGATTTTAGGGTCGATGTAGTTTCTCATTGCGTATACTCAACAATTTAATAACATAACAGTGGCACCTATACACAAATCTCGAGCAGTAGCAGGTGATAATACTAAACAATATGAACATGTATGTATCTGTAATAACTGCTTTGTACAGGTGTATTAACACCCTACCATAGCACAAATGAATTAAACATTTCTTTTAACACTTAAAGCTTAACAATTACAATAGATTTGGACATGACCAGAGGGCTAACTTTAAATTCTTTTACAGTGAAACTTTAAAAAGCTAGCAATGTAATTGTAAGTGCACTTTTCTTAAAGTGAGTTGTGTGAATGGGTTTCACATCTACAAAATGATGGCACAGCCACCATAATCTCAAACCAGGTGGTTCCAAGCCACCGGTTAACACAAGAGTTGACCTATTATTTGAAACAGTGGAGACTTTTCCCCAATCAACTAAGCAATATAGACACCTGTATTAAAGCATGTGGGCGTTCATATTACAAAGCTCAACTATATTCAGAAGTACCAACACCTAACACACAGTGTTGCTAAACAACTTGGGATAAAAAAACAAAGCTTAACTACTAAAGGCTTTCTTCTTTTCTGGCTTTCCAGTAAAGTTCAATACTACATGAAGGAAAGGGAAGGCTGATGTTTTGGTACCACAATACCGACTAGGAGAACTTTACAGTTAACTACAAGAGAGGTAGCAAAATTTCACCAAATAACCTTGAATTGTGCTTCCTCATGAAGTTCTTTATGATACTTAAATCAGAAGAACAACAGGACCCAGTTATTCAAAGGGCAGATAATTCTATCCAATGGATAAATTTTTATCCTGCAGACATCAGACATAAGAGCTAAAGAACTGTACTGTGCTACCCACTGGATAGAGATTTATTCACTGGGTAGTGTTATCCACACTTCCAACAACCAGCACTGAATCCTGAAGTCTCATGCCACATCTTTACATATACACATCCATTCTTGCATGTAAGAGTTATGTACATGTATATCACCAATAATCTTTTGGCCAGTGCTGGGCTGTAGGATCAATCCTTGTTCTATTTATATAGCATCACCAAATGAACATTTCTGATCTTCTTTGAAGCAATTCAGACTATATTTACAAAATCAATATCTTTAACCCTCTACAAAGAAAAAGAGAAACAAAAACAATTTTAAATAATGATAATGATGATGATGATGATGATGATGATGATGATGATGATGATGACGATGATGAAAAATAAGATTGCACATTCCTGACAAAAAAACAAAACCAAAAAAAAAAAAGTAGAAGAACTTCTCACCAATTTTACACTTTTATAAGTTCAACTTGGTGTTCAAGACCTTGCCTTTCCTCAATTTCTTTTTGCACAACTGGGTCTGGTTTCAGGCAGATGTAAAGTCTCTGTAAAATGGAAAAACACATATCCAAAGGTTAAAAATCTCCCTCCATGTCAAGATATTTGGCACATGTTTTTTTTAACATGAGAACAAAGAAAAATTTCAAGAAAAGACTAATGGTAAATGATTTCAAATGTCCAAATGGCAACTTTAAAATCAGATTTCCCTTGGAACTGTGAAGTTCTACTCACCTCCATAAATGTGCCAGGTGTCATGTACAAGTTGTAGATTGCCACTCCAGGAATGAAGAGCATTGAAGACAAGGCAATAAGCCATCCAATAAATTCAGCCCATGGTGGATACTTATAGTCACCATAAGAGATACCACCCCATTGCGATACACTGAACAAGAAGATTCCTGCCATGATGAGAGGTGCACAGAACCTCCAGCAAAACCACCACCAAGCTCCTGGACGACGACCTATCATTTTCTCAATGTCAAGAGAAAACCTGTCAGTGCCATAAATCCAGGCCAGGGTTACAGTTTCAAAGAAAGCCAGGAACAGAAGAGAAACACCTCCTGACTGGTAGTCAAATAGGTTTAGCACGTATGCTCCTCCCTGTGTGACACATGGTAAGCCCAGGAGGAAGCACAAAATACAAGCCACCAGGATGAAGAGTTCTTTGTGTCTTCTGAAGATGCGGTACTCATCCACAACTCCCGTAATTACTGCTTCCATCATACCAAACTAACAGAAGAAAGAGCCCCTTAAGTTCAAATAGTGCAAACCTTGCAACAAAGAAGGGGAAGGACTTCTGAAACTTCTGAAAGAGCTTCATAGCTCAGCTGGGTGGAGCTTAACAGCAGGACTACATGGGACAAGCTCAAAAACTGTTCAAGTCCTTCATTGTTACAAACTTCTTTAACAAAAGAGATACTTGGGTAAGTTAATTCTACTTTTCAACAGCATTACTACAGTGTAAAAACTTAAAATTTTGTATATATTTTTTTTCTTTCTTTTTTATACCTGTATTTCCTTCTATATGCTCAAAACAGATTTTAAGCATGAGAAAAAGAAATTTTGATTTGCTGAAAGTGATTCTACCTGACTGTCCAGGCCCAAAGTAAGCAGCATGAAAAAGAACAGAATAGCCCAAAGAGGCGAAACTGGCATCTGAGCAATGGCTTCTGGATAAACCACAAAGGCCAGGCCAGGACCTTAAACAAAGAAAGTACAGCATATATATTTAGCTTCTTTTACTTGATGGAGAATTAAGGAATCACGGAAAAGAATTAAAAATCTCTAATACCCTTAGAATTTTTTTCCAAACTGCAATCTAAAGCTCCACTTTAGGAGTGGAGGAGTGGGAAACTCATACCTACCACAAAAATTTGGAAACTGTCAGACATTTTTCATTATGTGATCTCGCAATATTTGTACACAAAATTTTGAATACAAAATTGCTTCCTACAAGACAGTTTACAAAGTAACCACCACTAGCAATTTCAGAAAAGTTAAGAGACCTACCTTGCAAAAGACTGTCACTACTGTATACTGCTGAATTGTTTAGTTTTTCAGATAACATTGAATTTCATGCACAGAGAGCATAAATAATTAGTTATCTGTACCTGAACTTGCCACATCTTCAATTTTTTTGTTGAGGCTATGTGCCATGAAGCCAAGTGTAGAGAAAATAACAAAGCCAGCAAAAACACTAGTTGCACAGTTGATCAAAGAAATCATCATTGCATCTCTGAATACAAAAGAAAAGAGAGGTTATACCTTAAGAGTTAAAAACTTCAAAAATTGTTGCTCTTTTGTTACAGAGAACACTATATTATTGATAGAGGGATTGCACTTGCATACAAGGGAACTTTGCTACCTCCCCTTCCCTTGACAAAGACACTGAATTTTGCAGGTCTTTTAAGGAGTAACAACTGCATTGCCCTAACCTGCAAACCACACAGCTTGCAAGCCAATGTCTAGAGGGCTGGCAGAAACAGGCAGCCAATCATTGTGCAGGGATGAGGTTACCATTCACAAAATAAAAGCACAAGTACAATGAAACTACTCACTTGAAAACATTGTTGTGGAACTTGTTGTAACTTCCCATGGCCACCAAAGAACCAAAGCCAATTCCAAGGGAGTAGAAAATCTGAGTTGCAGCTGCAACCCATACCTAAACAAAAGAACACATCCCTTAACACGAAGGTTTTTGTTTTTTTGCACTTGAATGAAATCACAGACAGCATCTCAGGGTTACATGCAAATCTCTCTATCAAGATCAGAGAAATCCGTTTATTAAGTTGGCTAGGTTTACTAATTAATGAGCCACTGAATTAGATCTAACAAAATATTATCTGTTCTAAAAGAGATGGTTCCCCCACATGTCCTTTGAGTATGTGAAACTGCATTATTTCACTGTTGGGTATCATGAGATAAAAATTCAGCTAAAATGTTTTCTCATTTCACAGCAAAATTTTGCATCAATTAAAACTGGTGCTACACTGCTTATGAAGGACTTATATCTTGCTTGATGCCTTAAATTTTTAATGGCTCAGGTTTCAGAGGATCAGAAAATTAAGAGTGTCAACCACAGTTCAAGGGAATAACCAATTAAGTTCAATACAAATTGAATCCTTGGCTAAGATTATTGTATAAGAACATGTAGCAATTACCAACCTTGGGATCTTTGAGTCGATACCACTGAGGTTTCAAATAATAAACAATCCCTTCTTTCGCATTAGGAAGCGTGACTCCACGGATAAATAGAATAAAAAGTACCACATAGGGGAACGTTGCTGTGAAGTACACAACCTGCACAGAGAAGTAAAACAGTATTAATTAACTTGATCTTTTCTGCTTGCAGAATTCACTTTTTTTGAAAAAGTTACTTCTAACCCAGTGTTACCTTTCCAGATGACTTGACTCCTTTCCACATACAGAAATACACCCCAATCCAAGCAGCTAGCAAACAAAGCAATATTTCCCATCTAAAAACTCCAGCATCCCCAATGCTGTCTGTTAAACGCAAGACATAATTTCTGAGAGAAGAAAAAACAAAAACATGCTGCATGTTAAAAAAAAAAAAACACCAAAAAACAATTTCCAATACACAAGCAATGTCATAAAAAAGGAAACTCTACCCTGCCATAACCAGATAATTCACCAAGAGAAACAAAGAAAAATGAATGATGACTTACTGCCAGTACTCTAGGGCTGGAGAAGAAAAATCATCTACTGCTGCCTTTGTGCAGTTTTTGAGTGTTGAATTAGCAAGTGCAGCAGTGCTATTTGCAAGGACAACTGTGCCATTAGAAAGGCCAGAAGAACATTCTGGAATCCGCCCAGCATAACACTTCTCACTGTTCCACCAATTTCCACACGACTTCCAAGGTACATCTTTGCGGAATGACAAGAAGAGGAAGTAAAGACACCAAGCAATGATGATATTATAGTAAACACAAACAAGGAAAGACACCATCATGCTTGCAAATCCAACACCTGAATAACAAAGAAAACAAAGAAAAGTAATCAGGACAATGAGTACATCACAAACCATGTTTTGCAACAAACTTCAAGTCAAGTCAAGTCATCTTTAGTAAGGCAAGGGGGCCCTTTCAGCAACAGGGGACCTACTTAATACTGCTTTTCCCAAAAGTGTTCCTTGACCTTCAGTAAGGGTTGCACATGTATAGAAGAACAGCTGGCCTTCGCTTATAACTTACACTTAGGGGTCAAGGTTCAATAATACAAAATAAATTAATGCATCTTGAATTAACAAGATACTTCAGTCTTGTTTAAACATCACTTCTCACCCTTTAACTTCTGCACGTTTTTGGCATACAAGTTCTATTGTCAAGAAGGTCAATGAAATTACTGGTAAGAGATTTACCGACAAGTGAGGGGACATTATTTCCACAAACACTGGTTCATGCGACCAGGCCACAAAAAAATGTTCTGTCATCAATCTGATGAACCATTTTTCCTTTTGATGTTTAAGAGTTAACCTAATTTTTAATCACTCTAAACTATGTCAAGTAAATGCACAACACCAAAACTACCTTCCTCTGAGAAAAGCTTCATTGTTACCTTGAAACAATGGACAAATTGCACCCCATGTCCCTATTGGCCCAAGGCTGAAATACTGGCCAACAGCCAACTCCATGTAGAACATTGGCATTCCACACAACACAAGCATGATTAGGTAGGGAATGAGGAAAGCCCCTTGAAGGAATACATGAAATAAAAACAATGAGTACAGATATGTAAATGTAGCAATAAGTTCTGGGCTTGGTTCATTGTAAAGAAGATTCATACACAAAATAATTAATAATTAATAACAAATAGCGATTTACTGAGATATCAATAAGTATTGCCCACGCAGATATTTCAGTAATTGTACAATTTCTATGCAGGCATTCTTCCAAAGTTCACCTCTTTTAACTCAAATGAAACATTGAAAGATGAACCACAAGGCACTAAAGATCTTGCCCATTGCCCACGCAGATATTTCAGTAATTGTACAATTTCTATGCAGGCATTCTTCCAAAGTTCACCTCTTTTAACTCAAATGAAAATTGAAAGAGGAACCACAAGGCACTAAAGATCTTGAAAAGCAAGTCTGAGAGCAGTAACCACTCTGCAAGAATGTTATAGGGAATAGTGTTAACTATTTCCTGACAATATTTTCTAATATACAATTTGCTGCGATACAAATTTTTGGCAAAGCTTTCCAGCATAAACATTGTGAAACATAGCTATAAAATGTTTTTCTATTCATAATCAATAACATGTTTTTAAACTCATAATTGATTACCAAACAAGTGAAACAATAAAATAGATTCATGTCTAGACATGATAAAAGGTGTTGAGCAATATAATTTGAAATTTAAAGGAAAAAAATAAGGACAGTTCGTTACATTTTTGCAGAATACTGGTTCACAATGAAAGAAAAACGATTTAGATTGATGTGATAGAAGACAGTTTTTTCCCCCCTTTAATTCTGTTTACGTCTCAGTGTGATGAATGACAAGCTGTCAAAGTTCCAAAGTTCATTTAGCCAATTACTGGATGTAGAAATTCCTCTTCGCGATTTATGTTACAACGAAATATATCTCTTTTACTTGCTTCCTTCAAGGAGTTTTGCTTTTAATTCACCTTTTGAGGCAAATATCTTATAACACTACCACTTATTTAAACGGGTAATATAAACTTCCGGTTACAATACATATCAGATGTACTTAAAGCAATTTCTAATTTCAACGATCAAAATGCACGTAACAAATAGAAATTATACACTAAGTTTTGTTGTCTGCTTCATCTACGAATGCTTGGGTCCTGTTTACATTCAAAAAGAGCTTTGAAAAGACACAACAATGGACATTCACGTGAGCTGTGGCTGAAAAATGTTGTTCATGTACGTGATTAGAGTTTCCCCCCGGGGTAGTTGAGCTTTATTTTTGTTTTTCACTCATAAATTAAACCTCACAACAACGCGAAAAGAAAAAGAATAGGCCAGCAACACAAAAATCCTCAACCCGCGCTACCAGCGAAAAGTTTTGTTTGTAATTCTCGTGGTTTTTCCGCGAAAACCACATGGTTGCGCAGTCGGTGGGTAAATTATTCATCTCAAAATCACAAAGACAGGGAGCAAAAAATGTTTTCGGAAACCGGATGCAAAACCGAACAATAATTTTATCAAGGTACAAGATCTACGTTAGTGTGTAACAGGATCGTAAAAGCGTCCACTTAAATGGATTTTCTAAGTCACCAATACAACTTTCAAGCGGAGCGGGAAACCGTCTATGCATAGCTAATGAGAGTAAAATTACTGACTACGTTTATGTTTATTCATTTGAGTCCTACAACCGGCGTGGTCAACCTGGAAAGACTGCTCGCTCTTTATGAGGAAACTGAATGAAATCAGGTGGCTTTTCGCATTTAAACCAATTTTTAATTGTACCGACTCAGTTCAGTGGCCTTTAAAACCCTGTAAAGGCGATTAAATAATCATACAGTCGCCATCGTGGAGTTGGTACACGAAACGAACACTTTAACCTAAGCCTTTTTGAGCTTACTTCTGATTTAATAAAGCCACTAACCTCCACCGTTGTCGTAGCACAAATAGGGGAACCGCCAAACATTTCCCAACCCCACCGCAAAGCCGATACAAGAGAGAAGAAAATCCGCTTTCTTCCCCCACTGTTCGCGTTCATCCTCTATCTCGACAACTTGAACGTCACGTTCATCAACAGCGCTGCTACTGCCACTAGCATCACTAGCCTGCTCGCCGTTTGCTTCTTTCCCTTTTTCAATCAATTTTTTTTCGCTCGATTCCATATCACTGCTCTTGCTCTTATCCATGTTCATAGTTTTAAAACCGGTTTTCTGCGCTGAATTCAAGCTCTTGGGGTACGCTAGATAAATTTACATATATCTCCACAGAGAGCATGTGGCTGTGACAACAACAGAGAATGCGCGCCAAAATTATAGCCAGTGTCAGCCTCGATATGAGGCTCGAATTACCTAAACAATGTAGCACCACGTGTGTCGCAATCGAGAACTCGTTACTTCAAATCACCTATTGCTCAATAAACCACGAAAGCCTGTTTGTTTGTTTTTAGTGTCAAGAGTTTTTCAAGGTCAGATACCAAACCCACTTTCCTTGTTGATGCAAAAGGAAGTGTGGGTGCTATTTGAAAGGATCGGTAAAGTGGTCACCTAATAAGCCATGGTTTCGTGCAAAAATGAGAAGAATCTCTAAAAAATCGATTTGTCCATCAGCAAAAATTACATCTTAGCATATTCATTCAAGAAAGCTTGTTACTTACAGAGCATAATTATCGGTTAAGTACATGATTCTCTTGGAAAATTCGGCAGCGAATTATTTTGGAGCTAAAAAAGAGAAGAATTAAATGTCAGCTGTAAAACTTGTAAGCTTGCGTCGCCGTTCATGACGTGACACGATGTTTTACATTTTCAGAAAAATTGTACAGAAAGGGCTTTTTTACTATGACAACGAAGCGTCAATTGACCCACTCTTAAGGAAAATTGTCGCTTTTAGGTTCATTTGCCTACTTTCTCGACTATTTTTCTTTTTCTTTTTTTTTATTGAAAGCTTCTCATCGTGAGGAAATATTCTCTGAGAGAAAAATAACCACTGCCTGCCAAGTTTGAAAGGTCCAGGGGTCAAGGGCCTTACAAGTTTGTGCTGAGTAAAGATTTCCATGCACGGAAACTATACGTGGACTGGAAGAGCGAAAAATGCTCTCTAAAAATAATCTTTTATTTTATTTTAGTAATCTCCCTAAAAATCATCCATTCCTGTTTCACGTGATCTTTAATGAATCGCCGTAATTATCTTCAAATACTTCGTCACTGGATTCAACATATTCTAGATCAATGATCCCAATATAAACATGAAAAACAAACACGGGATTTTACAGTCCTTATCGGATTTCAAAAGCTTTTTTGTTTCCGACTGTCTTATTTATGGCAATGATGCGTCGAGGGAACGACTTTACAATATCTCTATTTTTATGTCTTTGTCATCAATAAGGTCACGAGGCGATAGATTATAAACGTTGTTCGCTGTTACATATGTCAACAGAGAGTAAAGGATCATTTTCTAGAGGCATTAACCGTAATATTGCTTGCTTTGTCGTCTTTATTTACCAATGTACTATTTGGATCTCTCTTTAAGACGATTTTCAAATCGGAGCCCCTGAAAATATGGAGCTCTCCTTCGAAATTTTCACAAATTGAATTTTCTTTGAGTTGCACCGTACTGTTTCTTAGTTTGAGCTACGCACTTCTAGCGTCAGAATTTCGATCTGTAATAAGTGAAATCAACTCTAGTTGCTAAACAAATGAACGCGTCGTAGCTTGTCTTCTTACATATGGTTATTCAAGCATTCTGCTTCTTTCGAAACATAACCCAATATTTTTCAAGTATTTTTTAAATGTACAATTCTTCTCCATCACAAACCATCCTCGCTCATTTTTGTTTAAATACTTTTATTTTGGTGTTTTGCTATGTTGAAACTACAATTTTATGATTTCGTTCACGTTGATAGTAATTTTGAACGTTGCCAAAAGCGCCAACTGAACTGTCTTGCCACGTGCCATTGATGAACAAGGAGATACGACAACTGATCTCGTCCCAAACTCATCACTAACGGTTTATTGATTCGCCGATAACAAATGTTATGACTTGTAGGCTAATGTGCTTATGTAAAGTAAAAAGCTCTTTTCAAAAGTCTAAGTCTTTTGTCTATCCGCAAGGAAATGTAAATGATCGGTCAAACAAAATAACAAAAGAACCTCTTTCCAGTACCAAGCCGTGAATTAAAAACAATTGCATTGGGGGAGGGGTAGGGGGGGTTGCAGGATTTTTGTCGAGTCACGATCCCCACCATAAGGCTCTGTAATCTTCTTATGAGGCCCCTTTTTTGGCAGTTGATTGGCATTCAATTTGTATAGTCCCCCTTCCCCCTTTGTATTCTGTTGGCGACGACTGATGCAGTCTCCGTTTCACTTAAAAACCATATGATCCTCCCAAAATCCTTCGAGCCCCCTCCCTCCCCCAGGTTAGAAATTTTGACTGGTCCCGAATGCATGCTTTAGTCGAATACAGGCGTACGCTAATCAAATCTCTACTCTCTTAAAAAAGGAAATAGAATGAAAACAAAACATTAATAGAATTCCAAAGTTCAGGCTTTAAGCTCTTAGTGAGCTCATAGGTCCTTATATGGCACACCTTTTCACTGCTTCTATTTTCTGTTAAGTAGTTATCTGATTATCTGATTATCTGATTAAATAGTTATCTGATTATGAACGCATTTTGCCCAATTCTTACTTGAAGGACACAGATGACACCACCATCAACAAATCAAATTATACGAAACCAGAGTCATACAGGTATATTGCTACACGCTTCTTATAAAACTAAAATATTTTATGATTTCGTGCGTCTCTTCAATAACAGACCGCAGAAGACGTCAAAACATGGTATGAACGTCATTGACACACCCGGCTGCCTGGGCGCGCTACTTTTTCGTTCTTGTCTTACATTGACGTCCTCTGTGATCTATTCCTGAACAGACCCCCTGCAACATGGCAAATTTTCAAACTGCCCACACTTGTATCATGAGTATGTGAAAGGAACACGTGATGAACAAGGCCTCTTACTTGCTAAAGTTATACTGTTGACCAACAGCATCAACAGTAGCAGGCTAAATATATCATTTCGGTGATTCCATCATTCGACCTTAGCTAGGCTTATGATTAAACATGATGATAAAGATAACCTCATGTTTTCTTTCTTTTCTTAGAAAACAGAAGGTGGATAGCCGAATATTTTAATGAAGCTTTAAAATTAAAGCTCAGGAGCTGAGTTAGATGAAACTTTACAAACGAATAAAAATAGGGATGAAATGAACAATATACAATCAACGAAATATAATAACGTATATTTGCAGTAAAACTGAAAAATCATAGCTAATGCTTGAGTTCGTCAAAAAAACCGCTGCGGAAGTTTATCAGCTCTCTCTTTGCCTGTCGACCATCGCTGCTTTTGGCACCCACTTGTTTCCTCTGCCCATGAGCCTGGCAAAAGCAAGTATCCTACTTCTTCCTCCAAAGAAACAATGGACACGTACCATTTTGGCATAATTTGAATTGAGGATGGGCTGTACATAGACTTGACTATGTTCCATTCGATTTTTCCAAAATTATACTAGTTCTATTTTACCAGAAAGAGGGACAGTTGTGAGAGCATTCTTTTGTTAAAAGAAACAGATGATCGAAACCAAACAAATGAGTGACTCAGCGTAACCGCTCTGTCACCACGTGACATTGGTGAGTGGGTTGAAAATGTTGACATAATAAGCGCTGCTGTTACCTTATTGAATTTAAACCCTTATATTCCTCAGCTGGTCTAAACTCACAATCCAATTAGGAAACACTGTTGGCCTACAGTATTATTCATATTTTCCTCCGCTTTACTCTTTCCTTGACGAGTTGAACACGCAGTTCTAAAGAAGAATGGATGAAAATACTGCTGAAAAAAATTTAACTTAAATTTCATTCGTTTTATTTACCCATAATTTCAAATATATTATCCATCAGACAGTGACGTGACTAAACCAACCATTGTAAATCAAAAGTCAGAGATACTTATAAGATTTCCCGGCATAAAGTACCGACTAAAACTCTAAATAACTTGTGACAGTCAGCTAGATTTATTATTTTGTGTTGAGGAACAATGTGCCATCTAAAGCTAAGCCTTTAGAGTGAGAAAGCTATTGATGTCTGCCGAAAAAATTGCCAAGTTGGTCCCGGAGATTGTTTTTCATTCATATGGAAATTTTGAGCGTACTGCGTGGCTTAAAAAAAGATTTTAAATTCAACATCAATCATCTAGCTTTTTGTTGTCTTAAAATTTATGTTTCCGTGCGATATATATTTTAACACCTGTCCTCAAAAACGTGACCTGAAAAAATAAAATCCATTTTTGAAAGAAACTTGTTTCCTCGCGTACGCGACGGCGCTAAACAAAACAGCGGTTACACATCAGGCATGAGCAAGTGAATCAATAGAGGTCACCCACACGCCATTTACCTTGCACACTATTCTAAAAGTCGAGATAGATTTGTTTAAAAGGAACGAAAAGAAGGAAAAGGAAAACTGAAGACTTTTCTACCACAAGGCTCATTCAATTACGAGTCTCCTGTTGATTGAGCTTTAACAAATATGCAATAAAGTTTTTGAAAATCGTGAGTAACTGGCTTGTGCGGTTCTTTATAACTCCTGTGAAACAACTTGGTCCAGAGAACATGAATGCACGCTTCCCAGTCCTTACAACGATCGCACGTGCGCAGACGTTTGACCACTGTGTTGCGCCAGGCACGTGATAACGACACCTATGCCCCAACCATCCCTTCCCATACATTTCGGAATAAAAGAGGTCTGTCTGTTTCTCTAAATACTAACTGCTTGCCGTGTTATGGGCGTGTCGAGGGAAGTGAAATGCTTTCGGAAAACAGATCTCGCTACACGCTTACAAACTTTTGTTTGGGTTTGTAAACTCTTAAAAAAATAACGCCCAGAATCAACTCCTATATTCGTAACAAGTCAATGAAATAACACTCTAAAGTCATAAATAACTTCTGTTGATTTAGCAAACAGTAAATATATATTTTTGAATATATACAGTATTTTCCTTTGAGTGAGTGCGATTGTAAGAAATGGCATCTCTGATAACATTTGCGTTTCTAAAAAGTCGATGAACTCCTTCTTGTCTTTGGCCTTCGCGCAAAATAACAAACATCTAAATAACTGCATACAACGTTGTCTTTGGCTTAAAAACCTCCAGGTCGTATTTTGATCTGAAGGAAAACAGCCGCTGACCAGAACTAAATAACTAAGCATGACCCGTTCACCTATTTT